ATATTGCTTCCCCGAATTCAGGTAGATTAAACGAGGTTCCAAGCTTCTCAAACTGCAGGTGTGGGGGAACGTGAGATAAAGACCCATGTTCTAATTAATCCCTGGTTTAAGATGGGCTTTTATGAAGCCTCCCAAATATGTCAGTTCACATCTGAGACTACACTTCAGGAGTTTTTTGCCTCTACCTTGTGAAGTCATGTTGCCTTCCCCTTAAACTAGGTTTCTCTGGGCATGATGCGAGGTGTTTGTTAAGAATGCAGCGTTTCGGGTTCCTTTTTAGACCCAGAGTAATGCAAATTGCTATTATGTTCAATAACAGCCTCAGATGATTCTGGAATATGCTAATGTTTAAAAACCACTGCTGAATCATTTAGGAATTGCATTCACTTTCTAGTAACAGAGACTAGATAAATAAATAGTTTATTTCTCTCGGTGGTAAAAGAAGTTCAGAGATGGGCAATCCAGGGTCAGTCTCAGGCTCTGTGGTATTTAAAAAAAAACAAACAAAAAATAACTACACAAACAAACAACACAAAACCCAGGCTCCTAATGTTCTGTCCTACCATGCTCAGCCTACAACTTTCATTCTTAAGGTGACTTCATGGTACAAGATGGCTACCAGAGCTCTAGCCCTTGTTTGCATTCCAGATCAGAAGCAGGAAAAAGGGAGAATGGACAAAAAGAGCCCTGGCCAACTGCTTGGCCTCCTTTAAAAGAACCCTCTGAGTAGTCTTACCCTTACATGTCATTGAAGAGAATACATGTGGTCACATGTAGCTACTAGGGAGGTGCAGGAATATTATTCTTAGCTGGGCATATTGGTCCTTTAAGTAAGATGATGGTATTCTTGTTACAGAAGAAAACGAAAATGGAAGCAAGTAGCCAGCCATCTCTGCCACACCTCTCTTATACTCATGCTGTGGTATGGCAGAAAGTTGTCTGGAAACCTTTTAACTTACTGGTAGTTCATTTTGACTTTATTTGGAAACCTTATGTTGGTTATGTGATGGAGAATACCAAAGGAAAATGTGCTCATCATTCCTGTGGTCAGCCATGCAGACCTATCCGGAATCAACAAGATCTGGGTTGTTCTTATTTTGCTTCTTTCTTGTCCATCCACCAGTCACTTTTTTTATTGATAAGGAAGAACAAAGGGAGGGGGAGGAAGCCAAGTTCTAAGGTGGCTCTACCACTTTTTAACTATGTGATATTCAATCTGATGAATTTGAAATACTCGCCTCCAAGGTGTGGGGAGAGTTCATGAAATATTGTATATAAAAACACCTCAGACCTTAGGGTTGTTCAGTAAATAAATAGTTCATTGATCCCTACCTTCATTTAAACAGTGAAGAACAATTGATTCTGAGATCAGCCAAGAAAGCCTGACTTCTATTTTATTGGGCTCCTGCTCTAAGACAATAAGGATGCTTTTGATACAGGAAAATGTTCCCACCAAAAGAATGTGAGCACTTTGCCCTTAGGATTTCTTCATCTTGTCAGAGCTGGTGGCATCTCCTGCTTAAACATATATCTAGGTGAGGAAGGAGACACTTGAAAAATTGGGCGAGGTCCAGCAAGTTTTCTTCCTTTTCTGGGCTTCCTGGATCTCTTGGAAAGAAATGGCAACTTCATGGGGTTAGTTGTTGAGGAAAAACTCTAAAACTCGCCAAGTGTGGTCCCTGGACTAACGGCAGAATCTGAGAAGGGGTGATAAATGCCAACTAAGGGCCCCACCCCATACCTACTAAATTAGAGATCTGTATTTTAACGAGCCTTCAGGTGTTTCTGATGTGTGCTAAGGTTTGAAAGCCACCATTCTAAATAAGGTGCTTTATACACTTTTTTCTATTAACATATTTTTTTCTTTTTCAGCACACTTTTCTGCCAAATGCAGTCATTGACTCTCTAGCCTCCGTCTCTCTACCCAGGCAGAAATGCTATCAAATGTGCAGTTCTTTCTAACAAGTCTCATCTTTCCAACTAGGCGAGGCCTTACTTTGTAGACTTTATTTGCCCACTGACTAAAGCTCTTACAATCCATATGACACACACAGAAGTTGCTGCCAAACCTTCCTGGGGAGTAACACCTTAAATAAAGACCTTCAATGATTTCATTTTCATAAGCCAGTTTATTGTGTTCAAATGCTTTTGTTAAGGGGCCGTATACCTAGTATGACTTCACCCAAGGCAGAATCACAGGACACCTGTACCTGGAAATGTTCAAATGGAGCAAAGTTTCTAACACATTCAACAGACCTGCTTCTGAAGAAATATGCTGAGTACAATCAGGAGAAAAAATTTAAGTTATCAGCACACTAGATAATAGCTTGGTAATGATCATCACTGACAAAATTCTATTGGATTTGTTTATTTACTCCTAAAAATTTTGAACAAGTGAAACATGTATGGTCTACAATGAGCAATCTGCAGGATTTTCAGGATGCCAAATTAAATTTTTGTTCGTGTCAGAAAGTATACTCAATATTTTCCGGTTACCGTTGGTTCACTTGGTGTTTGTTTTGGGCTATAGGGTAGTTTTGTTATGGAGGATGCCAGAGGAAAATGCATGCAGCATTCCTGCATCTAGCCAGAGAATTCAGGAGAGCTGTTTCTCCCTCACTCTCAACCCATCTGTTAATCTCCCTTGCTTGATTAAAAACTTGGAAAGTCCAGCACCTAAACACCAGGAGTAGACATGAAGCCAACATTAGAGGGATTATTTTTTCACCTGAACATGAATAGACTTTGAAGAGGATTGGAAGTCGTGAAGGACTAACTCATTTTTCTTCCTTAGAGTAAGCTAAATCACCTACCATGTGATATGGGGTGATTTGGTAGGTTGTTAATTAATATGAACTGATTTATTCTAATAATGGGGCATCTTGCTAATTAGGTGAGATCTTAATTCATCCACCAAACTACTGGTGGGACTTGTGAAAAAAATATTTTAGCATATTCTATATTTGAAGAATTACTTGTATATTGGCAGAAAGGATAAATATTCAGTGGTGAACAGTAGACTTGAATTATAAAGGGTAACAAAAGATATCCAGGAAAAATAGAGCTGTGTTCCCAAAGAGTAGTCGCTGTCCACGTTGACATAAGAATTCAGAGCCTTTAGGATGGACCATAGCATACTGAGGAATTCAAGGTACTAGTTCAAGAGGGGTCCAGGGATGACCCCACTCTGGGCAGTGGGCAGAGGGGTGTGTGAGCAATGAGAGGTGATTGAGAGAAGGGTCAATCAAGCTCTAATTAGACTCTGCGTTTTTAAGCATCCACAGTGCTTCATTTCATATTAGCAATTGTCCTTAATGTTCTGTAACTATAAGGAGAGTTGTGAGAATGTCAAAGTGATGTTGGAACAAGGGCTTTCTCCAGGCAACCTTCTGACTTGAGAGGCAAAGCCCAGTCCCCACGACATGAGACTGGGTCTGCTCTTTTACATGTGTCCTGTGTCTGGTGCAGCCTATGGTATAGAGACTCTACTGAGGACAGAATGGTATGCCAGTCTCTGATGGGCAAATTGCCAGCTTCTGATCCCAAAACTGACTTATGATTTGGGTTTTTACTTCTTGTCAGAGAGTGCTGGTCATCTGTGAGCTGCATTCAAAACCTGGAGCCATTACTTCTCATTTCAGGCATGGCTCCCCTCCAGATACTTCTAGGGACGGTTTACAGAGGCCCTGCCTTCAGAGAGCCCTCTAGTCTATGACGAGAACTCTGTTTATGGTTGCCTTTGGGATGTGATGAAAAGGATGATAGGCACATGCTGGTGAATGGTTACTATCATTAGTTATGAAAATAAAGATGGCTTTCACATTTTTTAAGGACTTGCCATTGCAAAGCCTTTTCCCCTCTCTTCTAACACTTATGACTTAGTTTCTGGGGATCAAAGCAGAAACTTTCACAACTCTTCACTCCAGCATTCCCAAAACATGTGTTCATATCCAAGGATCCCTAAATGCAATGGTATTAGTTTAAGTTTGTGGAGTGTAGTGAATATGATGAATTTGGAGCCTCCAAATGGAGAAGTCTTCCATCTTCTCCATTTTGTTGAATGAATGTATTGTTTCACAAGAACTGGTCATGCTGCTAAGTAAGAGATACTAGAGACTATTTTCCATGATGTCATCTGAGCTTATGGGATTTTTTTTTTTTTTCGCTCTTTTTTTTTTTGTGGTCTTTGTTTTATAATAGCATACCTTCTGTTTGGGTCAGTTTTTTATTTTCCTAGTTTTGCATGTGGCTGGGTGATAGAATGTTTATTTTCTTTGCTTGGGCAAAATTATATGCTTGGTGCTTTCCTTAGTTGTTGTTAAGGCTGAATGAGTTGAATGAGCCTTATAAAGTGCAGGAGTATGTCCTAACAGTCGTAAACAGGAATGCTCTAGGATGTGCAAAAATCCTCTTGTTAATGACAATTTTTAATTACACGCTCTGCATCCCAGATTTAGTGAGTTTCTTTCTGCTGGATGTCAGCGGCTGCCTGCCTTACAAACGGCTCAAACCCTGGAGGGCTTTTAACGTAGGTGGAGGCTGAGGTACCCGGGAACGTGCTGAGTGCCAAAGACTGGCTTTGACTCCATCGCCGAGGCAGGTGCTGACTTATCCCTTTGGCTAGGGAGGCACGTGACATGCTGGAGACTAACAGGAAAAATGGTAAAGCCAGCTCTCAGGGGAGTCTGCCGAGAAAGCTCTACCCTCCGGGTTCACCAGCATGTTTGCCGAATTCTTTTCTTCCAGGAAAGTTTACTGGCTTTATTTTTCCCTCACAGAGAGAGGAAAAGGCCTAAGATATGGGCAATTTGCCTCACTCTTTCTTGAAGAATACATATCTCTGCTTGCTGACAAAAACTCTTTTGCTGCTGAGTTTCGCAAAGGGTGGGGGTTGGGGAAGGTGGTGATGTCCTGCTGGGGGAGTCATCTTCCCAGTAAGTGGGGAGAAATCCCGTTGTGTGAGTAGTGAACAAGTGATCCCTGTGCTTTCTGTCCTTCAGGTTCATCAGTACTATAGCTGTCTCCCAGAAGAGAAAGTCCCTTATGTCAACAGCCCTGGAGAGAAACTGCGAATCAAACAGCTACTACACCAGCTGCCACCCCACGACAATGAGGTAAGGGGCTAGATGGGGTTTATGAGGACTTTTCTTAGAACCTTCTGTGAATTGTTACCTTCTTCCTAACCAGAAATCTGTGATCAATGAGGTTGCCAAAGAAAAATTGGCAATTTATTTTAGGTTTTTAGCTTCCTTAATTAAAACCCAAAGAAACCAGCCAACACCTTACTTCTAGAGAGCATTACTGAAATAGTAGAATGTCATTATGAACTGGATTAGCCACTGTGCCTGGCACTACTAGGTATTTGGGGGTAACCAGGAAGCCCTAAAATACAAAAGCTCAACTCCAAGTTTTCTTACTTGAAGAAGAACGTGCCACAGAGGTTACCTGTATATGTTGGAGATTCCCTGGGCCAGGTCAAGCCCTGCAAAAACTTTGTGACTCTTGAATTTTCGGCATAATTTCATACTAAATGAATGTGCAACTTTTCCACAGTACATTGTAGTAGATGTTGCATGTCCAGAGTCACAGCCCTGAACTTATGAGTTTTTGTCGTGGTATAATCTGACTTGCCCGGGTTGTCCTTTGGACTCTTGGAAGTGTGTCTAGCAAACTGTCTTTCTTTCTGAACCCAGAAACATGGCACTGTCAGCAGGCATCTCTTATCCTTGAAATCATAAAGGAGATTTTGTAAATATGCTTTTAAAAGATCAGCATGCTGGAAGGGATTAGGTTTATAAGCTAGAAGTTAATTTTTAGGCATTTAGTTTTTTTTAGATAGTCATCCTTTGGAATTGAACTGACTACTTAACTGACTGTATTTAAAACAAAAAGGCAATTTTAAATTAAAAGAATTAACCACTTTAGAGAGCTGGACATAAGCTTTCAACCAATGCACCCCACCCACAAGCTAGATCCCAAAGCTTAATCCCAAGAGAAATGAGTTGAGTACTCTTTATCTTCCCACATTAGAATAAAAGGGGATAACTTGAGATTCTCAAAAATAAATTTGAGTTAGCAGGACAAAAACAAAAACTTAAGCAATTCACTAGAAAGAGCTCTGTGATTCTCTTTCCTGCTGCTTATTTCAGACTTCAAGAAACAAATAAAAACAATGCTTTCTTCTTTAAAGCTGACAGCAAGCATTGTAACCTGATGCCCAGTTAACTAATTTGGAAGTGAAAATGCGAGTTTTTACAAGCAGGAGGGGTGTGCCTTCCTTTAAAAGCATGTCCATAAAATGTGGCAGTGGCATAACCATATTTTTTGGGCTGTTTAGGTCATTGCAGTTCTTTCTCTGGGACATTCACATGAAGACTTCATTTTCTTTTTTAACTCTTTTTACTTGATAGAGGGAAGTGATCAGCTCTTCTCTGCCTTTAGTGCTTTGTTCTGTTTATGGTTAACTGTGCTTTCATGAAAAGAAACACAGTTCAAATTATAACTTCCTATGGGTGGGAATTCCCTATATGTGACTCAGTGGGCAGATTTAGCCCATTTGACATGACCCTTTTGAGGACAAAAGGTGATTGTGATTCTAATGTAAATATTTTATCATTCTCTTTTTTGCTTAGATAATTCTTTTTTTTAAAGCAGGATGTATTGAGAGGACAGAAAAGCTCCCACAGATAATTCTGATATACACAGCTACACTGGTTTTCAAATTATGATGGTTTTCCTCAAACCATCTGTATGACAAATTATCTGAGCAATTCAATTAACCTTTCTGATGTCTAGATTACTCCAAAATAAGACAAGAGGTGGGAATTAGGATTGTTTCCCAAAGTGTGGTGTATATGTGACTTTGAGTGACACATAGACATGGCAGTAAATAAAATTGAACCACATAGTGAGAGAGTTGCTCCCTTCTAAATTGTATTTCCTTCCTTGTGATGGAGTGGCTGAATGCTCAAAGAGGAAATTTTAGTTATGTACTAACAAGTGTCTCTCACCTCTCTAACTTGTACTAGCCTCAGCTTTAAAGTAGGAACATCAGGCATTTCTGTTTCAGGATCTCCTGTGAGCACAGTGGTTGGCTAGGATCTAAAAACATGTTTGTTCTCACTCTGTTAAGTCTGTTTCTTTTTTCTTTTTTTTTTTATTTTTTTTTTGAGTTGGAGTCTCACTCCATCGCCCAGACTGGAGTGCAGTGGCCGCTCCCGGCCACCGCAGCCTTGACCTGCTGGGCTCCGGTGATCCTTCTGCCTCAGCCTTCCAAGTGGCTGGAACTACAGGCATGCGCTACCACGCCCGGCTGATTTTTTGATTTATTGTAGAGATGAGGTCTTGCTGCCCAGGCGGGTCTTGAACCCGCTGGCTCAGGCAATCCACTCACCTCAGCCTCCCAAAGGTGCAGGATTCTGTTTCTATTTTTTGTGGGTGATATTGGTTTTTCACTTATAGTCCTAATATACTTGCTTTTTAAATTAATGTATTCAAGTTTCCAAAAAAGTGAGTCAGTATTAAAAACAGCATCAAGTAAATAATAGTTCAAGACTATGGCAGAATTTCCAAGGTGTGCATAAATAAGAAGAAAGAATGGGAAACACTGGATTCAAATGTCTTTCATGTCCCTCCCTTAATTCTGTGTTTCTGCATTTAACAAGAAGGAAAATATCTTTTGCAAGTTGATTCAACCAAAGCCCAGCAGGGAGCCCACTTCCTCCTGCACACAGATAAACACACAGGGACTGCCGTGCAGCATCACAGGTACCTAGACTGACTCTTCAGACTCACACGTTTGTTCCCCAGTTTTTCCAAAATGAGGCAGGAAAACAGAAGCTGTGAGCACATGGACAACTACTCTGACTCACTGACCTAGAGTCATTCTTGGTGTCAAGGATCATTTACATGAGCATGTGGAGGTGAAAGTATCAGGTCTCTACAATGAATCTGGAAGAGGGGGGATTTTCCAAATCTTGGCTAGCACCAAAGCAACTCTAGACAATTTGATCTTATTATGGTGAACAGAGTGAGAGAATGAGGGTGAGAAGCAGTTATAGAACCTTTGTCCTGCCTAAGGCTTGGGCTCCAGAGTTAGGAGCTCTTTTGACTGTCAGCAATCTTAATAGAGACCTTAAATCTTTCCAAGGTTGATGTAGTTAAATTTGTGACAAAAGCTATGAAACCAAACATGAGCGTGTTTAATGAGAAAACTCAGAGGCTTGGGCTTCAGGAATCTCAAGGAGCCAGGGTGGCTTCCTCTATGCAGTTCTCTTTGTCTGTTCAGGTTCGATATTGCAACTCCCTGGATGAGGAGGAGAAGAGAGAGCTGAAGTTGTTCAGCAACCAGAGGAAACGTGAAAACTTGGGCCGAGGCAATGTCAGGCCCTTCCCAGTCACGATGACAGGAGCTATTTGTGAACAGGTGAGTGTGGATTTGGAGAAGTGAGGCGGCATTGTTCTGGCATCCTTTCATTCCCTCATTCATGCAACAATTGTTTTATTGAGTGCCTACTATATGCCCGGCATAGTTCCAGGTCTTGGAGATACAGCAGTGAACAAAAGACACGAAAGCTTAATCTTGTCCTTCTAAGGAGTTTCATTCTAGGGGAAGAAGTCAGAAAATACATTTAATCAGTAAAATGGAAAAAAATATAGCAGAGAAGGAAGCTAGGAAGTCGTGGTCATATAGGGAGGCTGTAGTTTTGGGGTTTTTTGGTTTGTTTGTTTTGAGGCTGTAGTTTTAAGTAGGGTAGTGGGGAAGACCCTGCTTAGAAGATGGAATCCAAACAAAGACTTGCAAAGATGTGTAGATCTTGGATAAAAAGAGGGGCGAACTCAGAGGCCCTGAGGTAGGAGGGAGTCTGTTGTGTTTGAGGAACCATGAGTTGACCAGTGTGGCTAGGGCAGAGAGAGTAAAGGGAAAAAATTAGCAGATAAAGTCAGGGTTCATGGCAAGCCACTGGAAGAATTGAGCAGAGGAATGACATGATGGGTTTATATTTTTAAATGAGTCCTTTAGAAAATGGAATTTGGCTGGCCATGGATCAGTCTCTCTCCCAGGATCATCCCAGGACCAGTGCCATTTAAAGGGGGTGATAAATGATCTTCTCTTGGGGTTTGAAAGTTATTTATGGAAATGTATGGAGCCCACTGCATCCTCCCTAGGACCTCAGTGAGTTGAAGTACCTGGGTTTGCTTTTTCTCTTACTCTCCTGCAGAGTGCTCAGGACATGGTGGAGAAGAGTTTTAGAGTCAGCAGGGTGGATTCCCAAAAGCTCCTTTCAGCTTCCAAAAGCTTTCTGGTGCTGATTGTCATTTTTGGCATGTCTGCAGGTCCTGCTTAAGTCGTCCTTAAGCTCTAGATAGACACATTCAGGTACTGAAGATAGGTCCATTGAGTCAGTGAAGAGGAAGCAGGATATGCTGCCTGAGGGAAGTGGATGCCACTTGAGGCCCTTTTTTTTGAGATTTCAGAGGGATGGCGTAAGAAAGTTCAGGTAAATGGGATGAAGAAACTACTTGAGCAGATATTTGGCAGTGGGGTCTTCATCCTTGACAAGCATCCTTGAGACTCACTCTTGAGATTCAGGTGGTCACTCATTATGATGTGAGATTCATTGTGCTCAGTTCAGTGCCCTCACCACTCTCAGACCAGTCTTCTGGAACCAGGTAATCTGGGCTCGCCTAAAAGCCAAGGAAGGTCAGGCATTTTATGGGCAGATGTGTAATATAGAGTAGTGCCAAGCATACGGAAATAGAGAGATCTTTCCTAAGTGTGACCTATGTTTTTGCCAGATGAACTTGACCCTGTTACTTTTCCTTGGTTTTGTCATCTACAAAATGGGGATAACGAACCTTTTAAAATTATGGTGAAGATTGAGTAGAATTGTGTATGCATACTGTAGCTCTAGTAATGTTATCACAGAAGGTAGGGGTAGTACTTTCTATAACACTATACCTTTCTTTTATCTGGTCACACACATGGATGAGCTCCCAAAGACTATTCCATAAGTCCTTTACTTCATTTTCTATTATGCGTTTCAACCTATGCCATGTCCATAGCACAGGTATAGGTTAAAATGGGACACAGTGGCTTCTCTACTCTTTAGACATTGTCCTCAGAGCCCAGCCATTCATGTGGGACCCTAGTATAAGATTCAAGTGTGGACCTCATGGTCCATGCCTTGATCAACAGAGAACATCTCCCTGGACCCACTTCTTCACAATTTCTTCCTCCCTCAAAGACCTTCAGACCATGTTCTTTTTATTCAATACCCAGCTGTAAGCATTGATCATCAATGATTCTGCTTTGTTCCTTTCTGGATGGCTAGGGAACTTTGGAAAAAGAATGAGCAGGTAGGGAAGGGATAGGAAGAAACCTTTTCCATAGTTGTGCCTTAGAAGGTGGTATTGTGTTGATCAAGATTATGTATAAAGATGCTAAAAGAGGCAATCTAAATCATGCCTGAAAGGCACACAGAGAAGGTAGTTAAAGGTAGACATGCTTGTATGCATCCTACTTCCCCTCCCATCCAACAGTGCAGGCCCTGCCCCCTCGGTATCCCTCCCCCCACCCTCCTCCCTCCCCAGCCTCCTCCTGGTGTTAAACCTGGCTCTGCCTCAGCATGCAGTTTGAAGTATCTAAAAGATAATGAGGCCTTTATTCTGTGCCAGTTTGCCTCCTGCCTACAGAGCCCCTGCACACTATTATGCTAAAAGAGCTTTTCTTTCTTTTCCACGTTTGTGGTTCCTCACTCTCCCTGTGGCTTCATCTCCATCTTGTAGGCCCTAGGAACAGAGGGTTGCAGGAGGACAAGAAAAACCTGCCCTGCTGCCATATGCAAAGCAGGAAGCACAGTAACTGGTTTGAAAACAAGTGCTCAGTAACCAGTTATTGGTGGCAGTCGTTTATTGTCTATGCACAGCACTGAGACCTGGGGGCTGGTGTGCCTACTGATGTTTCTGTTTGCCTCACAGTGCGGAGGCCAGATCAACGGCGGGGACATCGCTGTGTTTGCATCGCGCGCCGGCCACGGCGTTTGCTGGCACCCACCGTGCTTTGTGTGCACTGTCTGCAGTGAGCTCCTGGTGGATCTGATCTACTTTTACCAAGATGGGAAGATATATTGTGGCAGGCACCATGCCGAGTGCCTGAAGCCACGCTGTGCAGCCTGTGATGAGGTCAGAGCAAATTCTCCAGCAGGCTTCCAGTCCTGCCCTTCACCCCTCGGTTGCGCCATAGCCAACACACGGTCCTGTGACTTCCTGCACACAGGGAAGCCATGGGCAACTCCACCCTTTGCAGTAACCCTTTCAGGAGAGAGGCCCCACCGACCCCTGGTTGCTAGAATGTCTGGAGTTGTGGCTGCTTTACTGATCATGGTGGTTTCACAGCCTTTGGTGGGAAGGCAGTTTCTATGAGATCACCAAGTGACATACAGCTCACACTAAGTCAGTCCAGAACTCTTATTTTTTTAAAAGGGTATTATGCAGCTTTAGATATTAGCCCTAATTCCAGGGAGTAATTATAAGTAATGATGTGCCTCTTATATTTTAAAATTGTTCATTTTTCCAAGATTCAGTGGGGCAGGTTGGTTAGAGAAGAGGAGAAAATGGGTAGAATTATTTGATTTTTCTATAGTTAACAAAACTTCGGAGTGAAAATTCAGGAGGCAGATGGATACTCCATTTGGATGCTCTGCCCCATGCTCTAAGAGGTATTAGAATTTGCTACCCAGGGTAAGAAAGCAGAACAGTGTGCAAGGCTCTGCCTGGCATTCTTTCCCTACCAGAGGCACACCCTATTACGATCTTTAAATGACAGAATAGAAATCCTGGTTTAGCTTTATACTGGGAACAGAAAGAACAATGTTCTAAACCTGTGATAGGAATAATTTGGAAAAGGTTTGAAACAGGATTTCCTCCTATGCAGAGGAGTTTTTGGGGTCTGTCTGTCCTTATAAACAGCAGTGTGGGAGGTAACACTGCCCTTTTTCAGCCAGAGAGTCCACTGTTACTTGGGCATTTATTTCTTACAAACTGCCTGTGAGGGATTTACTCTCTAGGAGGAAACTAAGCAGACTCAACTAATTGGGATTCTAATGATAACAATGGTATTCTAAAGAGGCCTTCTAGGCAGATAGCAGGAAAACTGAGTTCAGGTCCATATCTGTGATTCTAGGCAGCCTCTCTACCCTCATGCCTCAGTTTCCAAATCTGAAAATTAGTGTTTATCATATAAGTTTGTGTTCTCTAATGGCAAAAGAATATGGTCATTGAAGTGAATGTTCTTTGAAATTTGTGTTTACTGAGAAATAATTTACATAGCATTAAGTTTCACCCTTTTAAGGTATACATACAATTTTGTGATTTCCAATATAGTCACAAAACTATGTAGCCATCACTACTATGTGATTCCAAGCTATTTTCATTAACCAAATAAAAACTATCCATTAGCAGTCACTCTCTTTTTCTCTCTTTCCACAGCTCTTGGCGACCCCTAATGTATTCTCTATGCCTGGATTTACATATTCTGGACATTTCATGCTTGCAAAATCATGAAATATAATATAATATGTGACTTTTTAAGTCTGGCTTTTTTCATTTAGCATGATGCTTTTAAAGTTAATTCATACTATAGTATGTATACATACTCCATTCCTTTTCATGGCTGAATAATATTCAATTATATGTACATATAATATTTTGTTTAGCCATTTATCATATGATGGTCATTTAAGTTGTTTCTATGTTTTAGCTATTATAAACAATGCTACCATGAATATTCACATACAAGTTTTTGTGTGTGCATATATTTTTAGTTCTTTTGAATGTATACCTAGGAGTGGAATTGCTGGGTTACATGGCAATTCTAAGTTTAACTTTTTGAAGGGAATGCCAAACTGTCTTCCAAAACATCTATACTATTTTACTTTCCTACTGTCAATGACTGAGGAGTCTAATTTCTTTACATGCACACTAACATGTGTTATCTGTCTTTTTCATTGTAGACATCCTAGTGGGTATGCAGTAATATCACACTGAGGTTTTGATTCACATTTCCCTAATGACGGATAATGTTGAGAATCTTTTTTATAAGTTATTGACTATTTGTATATGTTCTTTTTCAGAGAAAGTTCTATTTAAATTTTTTGCCCATTTTTTTTTCAACTGGGCTATTTTTTCTTTTATTGTTGAGTTGTAAGAGTTTTTTATATATTCTGGATACAGACCCTTGTCAGACATAGATTTGCAGATATTTTATTAGTTATATTTTAATTCTTTGTTTTTATTAGTTTTATGTTAGTTATATTAGTTTGTTATTTTAAATTATTTATTTAATTTATATATTTAATATATTTTAATTATTTATTAGTTATATAGAAAATGTAACTGTATAGTAGTTGTAGTTTCACTCTCTTGATGACATCCTTTGAATCATAAAAATTTTCAATTTTAATGAAATCTACTTTATTTTTTGTTTTGTTGCTAGCGCTTTTAGTATCATAACTAACAGCAAACCCATTGCCTAAAGTCATAAAGATTTACATCTGTGTTTTCTTATAATAGTTTTATAGTTGTAGTTTTTTTTCTCTGTGACAACTAGGCCTTTGATCCCTTTTGAGTTTATTTTTTATTATGGTGTGAGGTAGGGGTTCAAATTCATTCCTTTACATAGGGTCCCATTCCTTTACATAAGTTGTCCTAGCTCCATTTATTGAGTCGACTATTCTTTCTTTCATGGAATAATCTTGGCACCATTTTTGACAATTAATTGATCATATATGTATGAGTTTATTTCTGGACTGTCAGTTCTATTCATCTATATGTTCATCCTTTTTCCAGTAATACACTGGCTTGATTACTGTAGCTTTTTCCAAATTTTGAAGACTGTGCTTTAAAAAAATTTTTCTTTTTTTTGAAATGGAGTCTCACTCTGTTGCCCAGGCTGGAGTGCAGTGGCACACTCACGGTCACCCCAACATCGACCTGCTGGGCTCAGGCAATCCTTCCACCTCAGCCTTCCAAGTAGCTGGAACTACAGGCACACACTGCTAATTTTTTGATTCATTATAGAGATGAGGTTTCGCCAAGTTGCCCAGGCTGTTCTTGAACCTGTGGGCTCAAGCAATCCTCTCACCTCAGCCTCCCAAAGTGCTGGGATTACAGGCTTTAAAATTTTAAAAACTGTATCAGTGGTCAAAACACAAATTCTGGTGAGGACCAGGCAGGTATTATAAATGGAGGTAAGCCATTTTAAGGCACTGAGGAGGGGTGAAGAACATGACAAACTGGAAAACTTGCCACTTATCTGAAAACAGCAGCCCCTCTTCTTAGCACTAGCTTATTCTGGCCATGTAGGAATGTGTACTGAGCATAGCCAAATATCACGTTTTTAGAAAAGAAACCAAGATTCCAGGTATTTAGATGACATTTTTTATTTTAAAAATACTGTGTTCAGGTCAAATGAAGCAAGTATGTATGTCTAATGTACCTGTGAACTACCTGTTTTTGGAATCCAGCTTTAAATTTTTTAGGGTAAAACATTCTTTCTCTTACTAAAATGTGGTTAAGTTCATCACTGGCCAAGCCAGAAGCCATGTTTAGTTGTGCTTTAGGCAAATTCACTGTAGGAACTGACAGAGAATAAGTGTATACACATAGATTTCTGTTTAATAACTTAGGAGCAAGACCTGCTTCCTCACCCTTTTAGCTTGGTTCCCCAAAGCTTTCTCTTTTTAAACTGTATTCCTATGACTGAGTCTCTGACACTGATCATTTTGCTTCCCCACCTCCAGATCATCTTTGCAGACGAATGCACAGAAGCAGAGGGGCGGCACTGGCACATGAAACACTTTTGCTGCTTCGAGTGTGAGACAGTGCTGGGTGGCCAGCGCTATATCATGAAGGAGGGAAGGCCCTACTGTTGCCACTGCTTTGAGTCCTTGTATGCAGAATATTGTGACACCTGTGCCCAGCATATAGGTGAGGACATGCGTGGCACTCTGCTTGGTCTTTTTGTGACTTCTTTGTCTCGTGTAGTTAAGATATCTTTGGTTGCAAATGATAGAAATACAACTCATACTAGCTTAAGTGAAGAGAGGAATTTCTTGGCCCATGTTGCTAGAAAGGCAAAGGAGTATTGTGGCTTCAGGTAGGGACTGATCCAGGATTCAAGCAAAATCTTTGTATCTCAGCTTAATTTGCCTTCGGTTGACATCATTTGGAAGAAGGTGTCTCCACTTACTGGTCAAGATGACTCACTAGTTATATCTTGTCTAAGTAATTGTATTCTCAAAAGGAGAATGAGTGTGTCTCTTCCAGTTTCCAAGTCAGTTCCTCCAAATAAGAATCTTTCCAGCCCTGCGTTGGTCAAATGTCCACCTCCAAGGTAAGACACAGTGCCACTACCAAGTGTAGAGGAGTTGTCTCAGAAGGAAAATATGAGGGGGACACATGAACAGATGTCTTCCATAGCCTCTTTGGAAAAAGTTGAGGATTAAGAGAGTGGTTACTCTTGGTAGGGAGGGAGAGTCAAGGAAACCAAATGGCTTCTGGCAAGCATGTCTTTAAAAAAAATAGCAAAAGCTACCCCAGCCAAATACAAAGCAAATGAACCTCAAATAGCTCGTAAGCTATTAACTCCTCAAATAAGCAGCAGATCTGAGATGGTGAAAATCATTTTCCCTTTGCAAATAACTGATTTGTTCAACCCTTCAACACTGTTCCAGTTCATACTGCATTGTGGCGTCTTCATTCAACTTGCCTTTTCTGGCACCTTAGGAAGGAGCCAACCTTTAAATTTAAAAAAAAAAAAAAAAAAAAGTTGGCAGTGACCGAATGTCTGTGAGAACACAGCCAACTCGTCCTGTGGCTTGTGCAATCCCAAGAAGTCTGTTCAGAAGCTGCCAACTTCTTACCTATAGTGAGGAGATGTGGAGATAATCCATTTTAGAACCCGTTTTGCCCCACTTAAAAGGTTTTATTGGGAACAAAAAGTGGCTTTGTCTCCCTGGTCCATCAGAAGTGATGTATTCAAATGAAAAATTAGCTAGTATTTAGAGAGCTCTGTGTACTGGACAAGATACCTACTGTGTGCTCAGCGATGCTTTGTCATTGGGCAGTCCCGTCCCACAGACCTAGGCTGCTTTCTATGAGGCTTTTCCAAGCTGGAGTTTGTCTGCCCAGGATGAAGCTTTGCTGTGAAGACCTCTGTCTTGCTGTACTCCCTCCTGGGGACTTGGGTGATAGCAAATCTACTTTCCCCTAAGTCCTCCAAACTTCACCCCCCTCAACCTGGTGCCTCAGCTAAGTACGCAGCTTTCATTTCTCACAAGATCAAAACAGTCAAACAGATAAGCCTTTTTTGTGCTAAGAGTTAGGAAATGGGGAGCTTGGTTGTGACAAGTGGCAGGATGTCACTTGTCACAATCAAGAGGAGGGGATGGGCCAGTGTCAGGGAAAATGGTGCAATGTATTAACCCAGTATTGCTCACCTGTGGATTCAAGTCCGCAGGTAAATTCTTGCTCAGGTGAGAGGGGCTGAGTGTGCAGAAAACCAGCCCATGGCAATAATGCTACCTTCCCATTCCTGTTTCTGTGTTTTCTGTCTCTTTCCATGGAGGCTAAGAGCCGCTCCAAACACTGCCACTTAGAATTTTCACTCAGTGCTTGGAAGAGAGAAAAATCTGTCTGCTGCAACATGCACACCTCAGATGGCCCCTGTTTTCTTCTGTTTCTCTCTTCTTTTAGCTATCCAGGACTTTCATTGGCATCCCCTTCCCCTTTCCTCTTAAATCCATGAAAAGGCATTCATGTTTTATCAGAAGAGGGGACCACTGTGACCCGCAGTATTCTTGCTGCTATAGTTAAAATGCTGGTTCTAACGTTTGTTTTACATCCACTCTTCTGTAAAACGTAATTTTCCTGCGACAGTGAAAGAGTATGCAGTGTGTGTTATGCATACCTCAGTCACTGGGTGCTTTGCCTCTGATCATACTGTACAAATATTCCATATTTATACAGCCGCTCAGAGCAGACCCGCATCAGGCAGCCGTTGCTAGGGCGACGGTACTTTTGCCTGCACACAGCAGAGTAAACAGTCCTATAAACAGACCGAGCTGTGGCAGCAGTAGACACATACACCCTCAGAGAAGTACTTAAAGGGCTTAGAGAGGGAATAAAAAAGGAACGCTTAGATGTTGAACGGCAGAGCCCTTTTCCAGATGTTTAGAGTTCAGGAGCAGTTCAGAGGACCATCTGACATCGTTGATGTTTATCAGGGACCACGTTCTGCTGCCTGCTGGGTCGCTTTATGACATGCCTCCCCTCCACTCCCCCCACCCGAGCCCATCCTTCTGTGAGGCCCTCATCCCCAGGAAGGAGGCCCTTGCTGCTACATCAGAGCATGTTTCCTTGCTGAAGCATGGAGAAGCAGCTGGTGGCAGACAGGCTAAGGGGACGAGACTTCCTGTGTACCTCAAACAGGGAGTAGGACTACGGGGGCAGCTGCTTGGGATGCTATGCTGAGTAGTAGCTCATAAGAAAGGACCTGGGGCCATCAGGAGCTCTCTGCACTCCTGGCAATTGAGAAAGGGTGTGAAATGGAGGAGAGGAAAGATGGGAGAAGGGAAGGGAGACTGAGCAGCCTCATACTTCTTTCTTGGACTGCATCTAGGCAGTGACCCTCAGCAAAGAGGGAGACAGGCTAATATATAAAAGAAGAAAAAGAATAGTTAGCAGGCCCAGGTTTCAGCATTCTGTGTATATTAACTCAATTAATCACAACTATCCTGCGAAGAAAGTACTATGATTATCCCCACTGTACTGTGGAGGAGTCCAAGGCACAGAGAGATGAAGCCACTTGCCCAGGGTTACACAGCTAGAATTCAGCAGACCCAAAATTCAAACCCAAGCAGAGAGGCTTCAGCATTGTTACAACCAACTGGAATGGGATGGATCTGGGATTTAAACTTGGATTTGTCAGAGTCCTATAACCTCAGTCTTAACTACTACAGAATTTTGCTTTCCTGTGCTGTTGACCTCTGCTTCCTTCAGGGACCTAGGGAGGACATGTCCACAAGCCCGCAGTTCTGAGTTGTCTGTTTCTAGCTCCACCCCAGCCAATTATTTCTTACTCCACCTGGGAGCGCTGATTCTGTAAGAATTAGAGTTGAGTCACACAGTGCCCCTCTCACTTGGGGTGGCTCTTGTGGCTGTTCCTGTCCCTATAAAAATTCCCTTGTAGTCCCTAAGGCCAGTTCCACGAGGAAGAGAAACCCCTTAGTTTAGGAAAGAGCTAGTAAGAGAAGAATTTCCTTCATGCCTCCCTCTCCCTGGGTTGCAGCGAGAAGACAGGGGAGGGAAAAGAGAGGCTCTTGAGTTGTGGCCTTTTGTTCTTGCAGATCTCTTTTCTCTGCAGTCTCGTTTGTTATCTCTCTAGACAAGTCTCCAGAAGTGATTCCTTGAAAGTCTGGGCTCAGGAACACTCAGCCACTGAAGGCAGAGGTTTATCTGAGTAGTCCTTTCCAGGAAGCCTTGCAAATATGTAAATATGATGTCGTGCAGAGGTCCCTTTCCATCCTTCAGTCACGGTTTGATACTGCATCTCCAGCAAGCTTTCACCATGGGAGGGGACCCTAACAGCTCTACCAATTTAGCAACTGCTATACAAAGGGCCTCTTACATCACTGCCTTAGCAAAAGTCCCAGGTGACCTTCATGGGTCTAGTACGAGTCACCTATCCACCCTTGAACCAGTCACTGGGACTTGGAGAGATGATATTTGACTACCCAGTGGTGGGCCCAGGTGTGGCTTTAGCCTCACCTAAAGCTCGTGACCTGAGGCTGGCAGGAAAATGGTGTCCCACAGGGAAATTAAGTCCCAAAGAGCTCCAAAGATGGTGAGAAACCAGAAGAACCCCGGGGCTGTGGGAGGCTCCCTTAATGTGCAGTTGTAGCCAAATTATGTAAACCAGGCACAGTCCTGTCCTGGGAGGAATCATGCCTCTTCCTTTTCTGATAAAGTTAATCAAAAGTACACTGGGTCATGCAGGGGCAATGTCTTTCACAAACTGTGTCTAGGTTTTTCTTTACCAAAAGCAGGTTTTTCCTTGCCAAGTGTTGAAATCCACTTTTTTTTTTCCCATTGGTACTACTCTTTTTTTTTTTTTTTTGAGTTGGAGTCTCACTTCATGGCCCAGGATGGAGTGCAGTAGCATGCTCACGGCCACCCCAACGTCAACATTCTGGGCTCTGGCAGTCCTTCCGTCTCAGCCTTCCAAGTATCCAGAACTACAGGCATGTGCTACCACACCCGGCTAATTTTTTATTTATTGTAGAGACATGGTCTCACCAAGTTGCCTGGGCTGGTCTCAAACCTGCAGGCTCAGGCAATCCACTCACCCCGGCCTCCCAAAGTGCTGGGATTACAGGCTGAGCCACCAAGCCCAGTACTACTCTAACAGAATACCATAGACTGGATGGCTTGTAAACAATAGAAATGTTTTGCTTACAATTCTGAAGGCTGGGAAATCCAAGATCAAGGCACCAGTAAATATGATGTCTGGTGAGGGCCCATTTTCTATTTCATAGATAGTGCCCTCTTGCTGGGTCCTCACATGGCAGAAAGGGCAAACATGCTCCTTTGGGCTTCTTTTATAAGGACACAAATCCTATTCGTGGGACTTTGCCCTTATGACCTAATTACCCCCCAAAGGCCTCATCTCCTAATACCATTACCTTGAGGATTAGGATTTCAACACAGGAATTCTGGGGAGACACATTCAGACCATAGCATCCACCAAGTTGCTACAGTGACTTACCCATTGGAATGGCATACACTAGTGATGAGACTCAATGGATCTCCATTTAATATACAAAGAGCCCCTTCCACATACAAGACCATGTTCCAGGTCATGGAGATGCCACAGAAACTTAATAACTCTGTCATCAGAGAGCTTCACTTTTAGTAGGGGAGATAAATAATTAACAAATGCACACCTATGGTGGTCCAATGTAAAGCAGTATTAGTGCTATGAAGAAGAACTCAGCAGGGTGGAAAGTGTTGGAGAGCCACTGTTAGGGTGGACAGGAAGACTTCTTTCAGGAGTTGGCTTTTGAACCGACGTCTAGTTAGAATGAAGGAGACTATCGATGTCATGATTGGGAATAAGGCTTCCTGGGTACAGATCTCATCTCTGATTCCTAGTTATACTACCTTAGACAAGTTACTTAGCCTCCTTCACCTTCATTTTTCATATGTAAACTGTAAATAAATTAGAAGCCTACCTCAAACAGTTGAGCAATTAAATGTGTTCATGTATATAAAGTATTTAAGCAGTGATTGATAATATGTTAGTATATTATTACTATTTGTCCAGGGACATTGTGTCCCAGGCAGAAAGATTCATGGATGGGCCATTTTGTTTTTTTGGGGGATTTTTGAGTTGGAGTCTCACTCTGTCACCCAGACTGGAATGCAGTGGCACGCTCCCAGCCACCGCAGCCTCCACCTGCTGGGCTCCAGTGATCCTTCCGCCTCAGCCTTCCAAGTGGCCAGAACTATAGGCATGCGCTACCACACCCAACTAAAATTTTTGATTTATTGTAGAGATGAGGTCTTGCCAACTTACCCAGGCAGGTCTTAAACCCACGGGCTCAGGCAATCCACTCACCTCAGCCTCCCAAAGCACGGGATTACAGGCTGAGCCACCAAGCCCGGCTGGATGGGCCATTTTTGACCTAGATTCTCTGAGCTGGGAGCAAATGAGTGAAGAAGGAGCTCACAAGGAATTCTCATAATAGGACACAAATACTATGTTGATTTGTTGACCATTTATTCTGCCACACCTGGAATCCTGAGCCAAACCAAGGTGCCATGTGTTTTACATCGCAGTGTAATACTCTGAGCAGCTTATCAACCTCTTCCATGTCTCTTGTTTCCTCAGGGATCGACCAAGGTCAAATGACCTATGACGGCCAACATTGGCATGCCACTGAGACCTGTTTCTGCTGTGCTCACTGCAAGAAATCCCTCCTGGGGCGTCCATTCCTCCCAAAGCAAGGCCAGATATTCTGCTCACGGGCCTGCAGTGCTGGGGAGGACCCCAATGGCTCTGACTCATCTGATTCCGCCTTCCAGAATGCCAGGGCCAAGGAGTCCCGGCGCAGTGCCAAAATCGGCAAGAACAAGGGCAAGACAGAGGAGCCCATGCTGAACCAGCACAGCCAGCTGCAAGTGAGTTCCAACCGGCTATCAGCCGATGTGGACCCCCTGTCACTGCAGATGGACCTGCTTAGCCTATCCAGCCAGACACCCAGCCTCAACCGGGACCCCATTTGGAGGAGTCGGGAAGAGCCCTACCATTATGGGAACAAGATGGAACAGAACCAGTCCCAGAGTCCTTTGCAGCTCCTCAGCCAGTGCAACATCAGAACTTCCTACAGTCCTGGTGGACAAGGGGCTGGAACCCAGCCTGACATGTGGGCCAAGCACTTCAGCAACCCCAAAAGGAGCTCATCACTGGCCATGAAGGGGCACGGCGGCAGCTTCATCAAGGAATGCCGAGAAGACTATTACCCAGGAAGGCTGAGGTCTCAGGAGAGCTACAGCGATATGTCTAGTCAGAGTTTCAGTGAAACCCGAGGCAGCATCCCAGTCCCCAAATATGAGGAGGAGGAGGAGGAGGAGGAGGAGGAAGGGGGCATGCCTGCTCAGCAGTGTCGGACCCGTCATCCAATCAGTTCCCTGAAATACACAGAGGACATGACGCCCACAGAGCAGACCCCTCGGGGTTCCATGGAATCGCTGGCCCTGTCTAATGCAACAGGTAGGTTGTGTTCACCTGGAAAACAGATAGTAAGGGGTGATCTCTGAGTGACCAGATGCTGGTCATCGGGATTTCAATGTTGTTTCTGCCATGGGCTTCATTCCAACAGGCTGCTGAGGAAGGTAAACCCAAGTTTTGGATGGCTCTGTCTTTGATGAGATCCCTATAAACAAAGCCTGAGGCAGGGGCCTGGATGTGTATGATGTGTTGAGGGAGTGCTCCCAGGAAAAGGGCAGTGAGAGAAACAGGACAGGGCAGGGCAAGGAGCCAAGTGAGGAATGATGTCTCCATTGGATTCTGGCTTTGGAGGATGAATTGTGCCTTAGAGATGGTTGTCTCTTGTGACAAAGGGGCTGATGTTTTGTACCACCATGCCAGTTAGTCATTGGCTTTGGGCTTTTGGTGAGCCACCGGGGGGTGAGGTTGTGAATGTGGACTTGGGACAAGGAAGCGCCTGTGGCCAAGAGCAACACTCAAGAGGGAAGGTGCAGCTGTGAGCCGGTAGCAGTACTCAACACCTGAATCCCAGGTGTTATTTGGGACCCCAAAGCATCCATGACAGTTCTGTGGCTGTTCTAAACCTGTTTCTCACCAGGGAACTAGTCTTAATATGCAGATAAACAGATAAGAAATGTATGACTAGACAAGGAAAAGGCAGACAGGTTGAAAAGGACAGAGTGGAAAGAGAGACAAGCCCATGCTTTCTGTTTCCAACCAAGTTGCTCAGCTGCTATGTGTGCATGTGAAGACTGAGGCAGACCTACTCTAAGATGGTGCTCCTCAAAGCAGAGTCTGAGAATCACACTGGCCAAGGACTATTACCCATTAGTAGCAAGATAAGTACTAAAATTGAAAGAGTTTAGAAACTCTTAGAGCAGCTTGACATTGCTGTGATATCCAAGTGTGTGTTCAGTAGACTCGTCTTATTGATTAGGGTATAGACCAATCAGGATTTTGGAGAATTCACATGGTGAGTTATTTGTGCCAAGTGTGGTGTATCAGGCATGTTAAGCATGGCCACATATCAGTCCACAAAGGGTTGAAAATAAAAACAAACTGGTGCTTCACCGCCAGTAGCTTGAGAAGGAGTGCTGTAAGATGTGCTGAGTATATCTGTCTCTTTAGGGGCAAGGTGTCAGAGGAGAGAGACACATGTTTGCCCCTCATAGCAAGGATCCCATAGCCAAAGGTATCTGGATGCAGAATTGTGATAAACTTGCACACATCAATCCCATCAGCAGAGATAGCCACTGCTCAGTTCCAACTGCTCATTGTCATGTGCAGGAATATGTATTTATTCAGCTAACACTTATATAGCTCTTATTATGTGTCAAACATTGTTCTAAGCACTTTATAAATATTAGCTTGTTTAATTAAATTGTCACAACACTATGAGGGAAGTAGCTTATTATAATTCTCATTTCATAGTTGAGAAGAGGGACTCACCCAAAGTCACCCAAGTTTTAAGTGGTGGAGTAGGGATTTGAATCTGTGCGTATGACACCAGAAACTTGCTCTTAACAGGTTGCCAACCTATTATGAGCCCCATTCTATCAGATCTTCCAGTTTTTCTGGACAAGTTTAAATATGGATTTTTTAAAATGTGAAATCCACTTAAACTCTCTAGACAAACAAAACATGGTTGTGAGTTGCAGGATGTCCATACAGTGCATTTTACCTTCTATCCCCTCAAATACTTTCATATCTGTGTTCCCATTTGTCCCAGAGAAAAAAGCAGATATCCTTATCCCCATGCTTCAGATGGGGAAAAAAAAAAAAAAAACGAGGCCTTGGTGACTAAGCGCCTTGCCTGATGTCGTAGAAGTGAGCAATTAGTGCAGAGTGATGACTACCTGGCTTCCAGCCCAGGTTGTGTTATTCTCGAAAGATTTATGTGCTATAATTATTTAAGAGGCCAGCAGATAAATATACTCTTCAGGCTCTGAAGCAGAGTTTCTCAAAGCTAGACTACCTGCATTAGAATCATTGGGGTGCTTGTAGAACCCCAATAGGGTATTGTAAAATATAGACCCCTGGGCTTTCCCCCAAGTCCCCTGCTTCAGAGTTCTACAGAGGTGACACCCAGAAATCTGTGTCTTAACCAGCTCTCTGCTGATGCTGGTGTGCATCGTTGTCTGAGATGAGGTGTTCCTGGGTTTGTCTTTTCTGCCTGTGAAATCAGGAGGGCTAGAGGTTAGGGAATGTTGGAAAGGCCAAGTGAGGAAGAGCCTACATTTCTACTTATCTTGGGACTTTATTCTCACGATTTTCAAATCATGAGGGGCAAAGTAACTAATACCTCTTGCCTCAGATTTTTTAGGAAGCAACCTTGACCATGTCTGATAAAACTGAGAAGAAAGCTTCTGAGATCAGTGCTGTCCAATATGGTAGCCATTAGCCACATAGGGCTACTGAAATTTAAATGAATTAAAATAAAATGAAATTAAAATTTTATGCCATCAGTTGTACGAGATACATTTAGGTGTTCAGCAGCAACGGGCTGAAGTTTAAATTTTGATTAATTTTAATTCATTGAAATTACAGTAGCCCCATGAGCTAGTGGTGACCCTGTTGGATAGTGCAGAAGGCAGATGATAGACACAATATCAAGCCCATCATTAGTCTCTGAAAGTTTTCACATGAGCCCTGAGTTTTTGGACTCTCGCTTAATGACTAGGAGTACTGGTTCTGAAGTCACACTACCTGGGTTCACATTCAGCCTTCATCATTTAGGAGTTGTGAGGCTTGAACAAGTCATTTGAACTCTGTAAGACTCCATTTCCCCATCTATGGAATTAGGGGAATAACCATACAGTGCTTCCTTTGCAGGGTTTTTGTGAGAATTACATGATAAATGCATTTAAACTCATTATTATAGTCTTTGACACAGATGATCTTCTATCATGGTTACTCAGTACTTTTTTTTATTATTAACTCTTTCTCCTCCCAAATACTAAACATGCCTCCAAAGCAGCTTGCAGCCTGGGTGACCATAGTATTAGAAATAGTGATAGCATCCTCAAGAATAACTAACCTTATGGAGTGTATAATATGTGCTAGATACAATTCTAAGCACTTGACATGAGCTAACTAACTTAATCCTCACAACAACCCTGTGAGGGTTGTTTTGGCCCCTAAGCTTGTTTGGGTTTCTGACTTCTCACAGCATCCGCTAGCTGTGCAGATTTGCATTTTAGGCTTGAAAATGTTCCTGTGGGTTCTTCTCTTTTTTTCTAAGCAGCATGAGAAGAGCATGGGAAAGAAGGAATTGAAGAAATTCATTTTGGGCCCTTGTATTTCTGTGGACCTGTCAGACACGCCAGTGTGGAAGCAAGATTGTGGCTCATTCTAAGCACAGCTTTGTCATTCTTCATGGGGGCAGACCCTAAATAGCCTCTTGCATCCTATGCTGTACACACATACACCAAAGGCTTGGAATGTTGGTATTTTTGCTGCTGACCCTCACTGTTGCATTCGAATTTTGCTAGAAAATTCAGTTTTCTTTTGAGAAGATAGCATTCTGAACTGTGCATGTTTTTAAATCCTAGAATCACAGTCTGAGTTCAGGTACATACTGCAAAACGCTTAGTGAAAACACCTTGATCCTTTGGGTAAAGCTAGATTTCAAGATAATGGACTTTTTTTTCCTTCCATGGTCAGTAACTTATATTATTGAGTAAGTCTGTAGTGTTTAATCTGGCATGAAGCATGATCTTTTAGTGGGCAGCATTTTTCTAAGAACAAATCTGAAAAAACAGATAGCTTCAGTGACTTGCCAGCCTCAGATCTGGGCTTTGGTACCTTCTGGTTTGTTTAGAACTGGGAAAATACAGTCCCTTCTCCTTGAAAAACACAATCTATTCTTTATCCTCACACAGAGTGAGTCAGGCAGGCACAGTCGCCATCTACACCACCACAATGTGGTAGCCTTGCAGAAACACTTTAATCCTGCTCTTCCCTAAATGTGCCTCCAAAGAAGCTTGCAGTCCAGATGTCCATGGTATTAAAAATAAGGATAACATCCTCAATAGCAACTAACATTATGGAGTGGTTAGTATGTGCTAGATACAGTTCTAAGCACTTTACATGAACTCGTTTAATCCTCACAACATTTCTATGAGGTAGATACAGTTGTTATTCCCATCTTATAGATGATGGAAGTAAGGCATTGAGAGACCGGGTAGCCCAAGGCCAGACAACTTGGGAGCAGAGGAGCAGGATTTAAAGCTGGGCATTCTAGCTCCAGAGCGTGAGACCTTATCGACTCTACTCTGACTAATGTGAATGATGATCATAAAGATGCTATTGCTGCTAATGGTGGTGATCATAACTGATGTCAATCATCACAGACCACCACCATGACCTGACATTGAATGACTAAACATATAATATCTCTTTAAACCCTTACAATGAACCTGTGAGATAAATCTGATTATTATACCCATTTTACAGATGATTGCACTAAGGTTCATAGATGTTGTGACCTCCCTATGGTCGCCAGGGACAGCCAGGACTTGAACCCAGTGTGAAAGACTGCTCTTAACCACTCTGATACACATTCTCACAAGAAGGGTCATGGTCACTATCAGGAGATTTGCTCAGTGACTCTATCTGAAGGGACAAGGATTCCCTTTCCTGTAGCAGTTGATTTGTTGATGTGTGTGTTTGACTCTGACAATGCTAGAGTGAAGCGTGAGACTGCAAATGTGAAATGACAGCTGAATGACAGGAGACAAAGATAGTGGTCTGAGACAATGTGCCAAGGTCAGAGGTAGGAAAGACAAGGCAGACAAGCACAGATTGTCCAGGGGCTGGTGTCTGGGCAAGAGGCACCAAGGGAAGAGAGAAGAAACCAAGGCTATGGTTACGAGTTAGGGGTCAGGGCACAAGTCACATGGGGACCAGGCGTAGAGTAGGAATTGGGATTGGCTGCCTCAGGCAGAGGCCACAGGACAGCTGGAGACTATGAGCAAAGCACCCAGGTGTGGAATAAGGCTGGG